TTGACATATCTCCTATGACCGATAATAAAACCACGCATCAACTACCAACGACCAACAAAGAGGAACGACGCAGCCACTTCTTGACAAGATGGCATATACCGGGAGTTTCAGTACACGCCCGCTCAAAAGATGAGCTCACTGGCTCCAGGTCTTCAGGCGCTTGCAAGCACTGCCCTGGCATTTCACTTTTTCCACAGCCCCTCAAGCATGGGCTCACCCTCCTGCAGATCCCTTGCCAGGAGTTTCATTCACTTGTGGTGATTGTTCCTGGACTCCCGTAACCCTTTCCTCAGGCTGGGAGCTGCATTAGAAGAATTTGGCTGCCAACCTAGATTTACCTAGCTGAAGCTGGATAGCTGGCATCTGTTGGCTGAATTCCGTGCCAGGCCGCTCATAGCAAGACAGTTTCCTCAGCTGCCATGCCCATTTTCTACATGCTCTGAGTCACATGACTGGACTCGGGCTAGCGGCTAGGAGCGTACAATTCAAAAACATGCGCCGTTGCAAGCTACCGAAAAAGGACTCCGCCAACTCTTTTGCCCGTACGACAGCTACACACGGTCCGCGGCCTGCTTCTATCAAGACATGCTTCGAAGGAAGAGGAAATTGAAGCCGGGGCCGAGCAGGCTGAAAACATTTCCAACGTCGATGGAGCCATGACCGGCATTGAAGGCCATTCTGGCGGTAACAGTTTGGGGTCCATACCTGAAAGGCACATTCATCACTGATCATTGCTTGTTTACCAGCATGACAGGAACAACACATTGCAGTTTGATCCAAGCATCGTCAGCAGGGTCTCAGCAAGCGCGGCCAACAGAACAGCTTTCGCAGATCCACATGCGCCATTGAGCACATGAAACAATGGCCCTAGTACCACAAATTGCGGGCACGCCGTCCACAGCGTGACCTTGGCACCAGTCCACGCATGCAAGCCCTCCGCAAAGAGGTCACTGTAAATTTCCTCAGTTGGAAAGCCATCTGCCTCGCAGCTTGTAACAATATTCTGCACATACCTTCCCATATGCAGTGCCGCTGCTGCTACTCCTCCTACCCCCACCGCCCCCACCGCCCCCACCGCCACCGCCGCCAAGCCGCCGCCGCGACGGCGACGACTACTAGGACAACTACCACCACCACCACTACTACTGCTGCTACTACTACTACTACTGCACTACTCCTACTCCTACTACTGCTACGACTGCTCCTGCCGCTGCTCCTGCTACTACTGCTACTTCTGTCCATACTTCACCATCCTACCATTCTAAACTGTCTACTATTCTACTACTGTACTCTACTCCTCCTGTTTCCCCTTCTGCAACTTCCAGTTCTACTCATTTTACTGGGTCTACTTATACTTCTTCTACTGCTTCTGCTGCTAATACTGCTGCTGCTACTACCACGACGATGACGACAACAACCACCAAAGCCGGCACCAGCTTCTCCACTTCTGCCTCAACACCACCAGCACTAGCTGGGCCCAACCCCTTTCTCTATTTTCAGCTGAAGATCAGATGCGGAGTGGTCCGGATAGTGGGTGGCTATAGTGAGGGCATTGCGCAGAGGCGTCAGCAAACAAACGCAGAGCGGACCACCGATTGCCCCGGCCAGAAACAGCTCCATTTCCGGCAACGCGGGCCACCGGATCCTGTCGAGCAGCAGGACTATCTGAGGTCTAGCAACATCTCGGTTCTAGTCACCCAGTCGCAGAAATGCCATGTTCATGTTCGGGATACGTCACAAAGTTCCTGCTTGCAAATGCTTTCCTTCTATCTATCTTTCATGCGAAGTCGAAGCATGGAAGTACTAACATGCTTTCACAGCTACCACAACAAGCCCGAAACTCCGCACCTGGCATCCCGGAAGCAACATCGCTGGCAAATGCGACCTCAAGGCTCTTTCCCAGGCGCGGAAAGACTTGCAAGGCATTGCATCAGCAAGGGACACATCATCTTAAGTTGTCAAGACTGATGAGTCTTGCTGCCGCATTTTTTGGCTGACTGGTTGATTGAGTGGGCCGTGATTTAGAATCATGACAGGCGCAGGCCTTTTAATTCGATGGGGAGACATCTGCAATGAACAAACGCTCGGAAGGCAACCAGCATTAATGGCCCGAAGTAAGTTTTTTGGCACCTTGCTGTGACCCTTTCCCCGCAGGGCTGGACACAGGACTCATAGCCAAAACATTAGTTTCCAGTTGTGGCTCAAGTTCAACATCCACTGAAACCTCCACTCAAGCCCATTGACTTACTGATGGTAAGTAATGTAAGTAGGGAATAGAACCACGTAAGTTGAGCCAGGCAGCTCCTTCTGGGCATCTACCTCCAGTGGGACATCATGAGAAAAGCACAGTTGCGCTGCACAACTAATGAAAGAAATGGGTGCGTGTCTGTGGTTCCCCTTCCCCTTGCATAGCTCTAACATGGTATAATTCTGACACCCAACCTGCATTTCTGAAGACAGAACCCCGGCTGGCCAGTGTCACAAACTGAGTAGCAAGCAGCTGGCAAACACGGCTCTTCAAACATGCGTCGACAGCGCTGAAAACTTGGGCCAGAGCCGCGGCACCATCAAATAAGTCCATAACGCATGCTCTTGCAAGGCCCCTCCTACTGCATTTCAATTTGTAAGTTCGAGAATTTTCGAAAAACTTGTAGTCCAAGTAGTCAGCTGCTTGAAGCTGGCTAGGTTCTTTCACTTGATGATCTGAAGAATTTATTTGCTTGCTGCGTCTCTCGGGAAGCAAGGGAGAAAATGCGTGCTCAACTCGCAAGCAGTGTTGGGAGGCGGCTGCTTGTGAGAAAGTTGGCTGCATCCTCCGGCACCATGCAATACTGCAAGAAGACTTTAAACTTTGCCAGCTAATTTCTTGTCCATGTGGAAAATCCACTAGGATCTCGAAGCACGAATCTCTGAAAGGATCATGCCAGGCCATAGGCCCCGTCTCAAACGAGGCCCCTGTCACATATTCCAGACAAGGTCTCACGATGTCTAGGCTCGCAAGGTGTTGCTACACTAATGGTTCAAGGTGGGAGTTGGGAGCACGAAGAGAACTGACACTAATGGCCGCTTAAACATCCACCCCCTCCCAAATATCAAGCGTGTACCCTAGCACACTTGGGCTCTTACGTTGTTGTGGCAAGGTACATAGACTACAAGGGTCGTTAAATATAAAGGTCATGGCCGGGATGCTAAATGTAGGGGCCAAAGTTCAGCTTCACGTGTACGTCTCTGAGCTGACGGCCAGCACGATATCGTCTTGTGCACAACACTCATCACCTTTGCCTTTAGCAGGGCAATTGTTGCTTCATAGCGCATGACGTGCAAAAAGCTAGCCCTCCAAAGTCATTTGATGTCAAGCTCCTCACCGGGCGCCAAATCAAGAATCCTTCGACCAAAAGCTCTATCTAGCTATCATCTGTTCATGTGTCTGCATCAGCTGTCTTCAGCCCATCCGGTGTTGTTGTGAAGTCAGCAGCGCCGCCGCCGTCGAGCTTGACGGTCTGCACACAAGCACAGGCACTTCTCAGTAATACCTTTCAAACCAAACGAGAGGCAATATGTCTTCCAACGACTTCCAACGATACAACAGGTATGCACGGCTTTTCTGCTTCTTCTTTGACATAGCGGCGACTTGGACAAGCTAGACACTGGACTTCTGTGTTGTCCGGTCTTGGCTTGACACATAACTTGAAAGCACAAGATGATCTGTCCCATTATCCATTTAGACTTGTGTATTGAGCTATGAGGGCTTCCCAACGCTGCTTGGATCATCTTGCCGGTGCCACCGTCAGCTCTGACATAAATGGAGTGGCCTTGACAAGGCAGCTTTTGGTCAGCTACATTTGTAGTCCAACTCAAAGAGGCTTCATGTGCAGATGCGCAGAAGCAGGGTCTTCACAAGATCACCTTGACGGCTGAGCCCAACCGAACACCAGGCTGCTTCGACAAGATGGATTGGGACATAGAAGCGTGCGCCTCAGAAGGTAAGGGAAACTTTCTGACAGCTACAATCCGATAGCACATGTCCCAGCTCCTTTCCCACTGCCGCTACATGTCAGACAGCCTGGTCGTCGTCACCGGTGCAACGATTGCAGCTGCATCTTCCGACGTTTGAGCGCAGTCGGCGCTTGACAAATCAGATTGAGAAGGCGGCACCTGCCAAGCCAACAGCCACTTCTGCTGACCAAACGTGCAGCTACCGTAGGTCTAATCCGAGCTCAACACCATTCAAACCATCTAGACCTAAAGATATTGCTCTGAGCCATTTGGAGGGGGGGGGGGGGGGG